ATGAATGTACAGTTACGGAATTATGAATGTACAGTTATGCAATTATGAATATACAGTTATGGAATTATGAACACAGAGCTCTGACATTATGAACTTACAATATGAACATATAGTGATAAAATTATGAACATAGAGCTCTAAAATTGTGAACATAGAGCTTCGAAAATTACGAAGTTACAGTTACTGAATTATGAATGTACAGTTATGGAAGTATGAATGTATAGTTATTGAATTATGAACATTGAGCTCTGACATTATGAACTTACAATTATGAACATATAGTAATAAAATTATGAACATATACTCATATAACAAAGCAGTCTGATTTTTTTTTTTTAAATAAACAAAAAATGGAAAGTTGTAGATAACGGCACTGTTACCCGTGTCCAGCATGTATGCTGGACACGGGTCCATAGCATAACGATTGTGATTACTATACATATTATTAAAAAGTATTACACTTCTTACGTAAGATAATCTCACACAATACTCCTTCTAAAATAAAATATCAATGTTTTAGTTCAATTTAATTGTTATAGTTGCTAAGAGCAACCACATTGGAATTTTTTGCTCAGTTTTTTAAAGTATACATGGAGGAAATAAGAGAAAAAAAAAAGGTGAGATTTTATTCTATTATGAGTTCTTGCACACTTTTTAAGGAAGAAAAAAAGAAAAAGAAAAAGAAAAGATATGACAAAACATTTATGCTCCAAGAAAGAATAATTGTGGAAAGGGCCAAAGCTTACCTTAGGGACCACAGAGAAGTAAATGAAAATGAAGCACAAAGTCTCCTTGACAATCACAGCTCCACTGTTAGATGGGAGAACCCCTATTCACTCTGGCTCAAACTTAATGTAAATGTTGCTAATGACAAGCATGGAGATAAGATGGGGTTCTGGAGTTCACCAAAAGAAGTTGTGGCCATGACCATTGCAATATGGGAGCCTTTTTGTTCATGTAGATATCTCATTTTTGTCCACTTGATAGCTCGAGATCATAGTCCGTTTCCAAGCTAGCTAGATCACAAAAAACAATTTTACCTAAGTTTGAGTCCCTTCAACATAATATGCCAACCCTTGACTGGGATAAGAATCAAACCTATGACATTCCGTTTGAAATATCAACGAGTGATGCCATAAACCACAATATACTTAACAATTACTGTGAATTATTCTTAGTTAAAAACTTTCAATTATTCAAATCAAGAAGTAGTTACAATTGGTCAAATCATCTTCTACTACTACTACATAGGGCCAGATTATTCATAAAGATGTAGATCCTGTCAAACTTGAGTCAGTAAATCATTCATTAGAATATGCAAGGAACACTCAATATAAAGAATAATTCAGAGACATCCGGAAGAAGGAGTTGCACCAATATTATGAATTCCATAACACAAATAAGAGCATTTATATAACAAAATAACCCCCTACCCTCATCATGGATTGAATAGTGTGTGACAGATATTCATATATAAATTCTAAAATCTTTGAATTAGTCTAAAAAAAAAAAACATATACAAAGAACATATTTTTATCCCCTAATCAAACGTGGGAAGTTGATTAAAAGATCAAGACAACCTAACTAGAGCCATCCACAAATCTATATCAACTCAAATAGCCCACAATTGAATTATCATCTTGATTTTAAAATTTATTTCGTCTTCTAATTTCATTCAAAGTGTTAGCTATGACATAACACACACTAGAAACTCCTCTTTCCTTCTTAATCTCCCACCTCCTCAAGTTCACCCTTGTTACTTCCATCATTGGCGTGATCAATGGAATTTCATCTATAGAACACACATTCTTTCCATTGCCCTGACAAAGTAAAAGATTCTCTACTTCCGTAAGGATAACCTACCTCACAAGCCTTATTGGGATTGACAGCCTATTATGAGTGTTGTTTACATCCGTTCTGGTAAGCTCCCTTTTAATCACCAATTTTTCAACACATACTGCCCGGTTACCAGCCAATTGAAAAATGCACTATTGCAAAAATCGCGCCTAGGCGCCGATTAATCGACACCTAGGCGCCGATTAATCGGCCCCTAGGCGCTAGGCGCCCGGCCTCCTAGGCAGCCTAGGCGCCCGCCTAGGCGCTCTAGGCGCCCTAGGCGGTCCCTAGGCGCCCTAGGCGCCTAACGATTTTTTCAACATTGGGAAAATTTAATTCTTAATTCAACTAGTAGTCCTGGTGATGGTTCTGGACCGTTGTTAGGCACCCTACTCCCCTCTTTCGCTTCTTGGAATTATTAAACCTCCTGCCACAACCTTATCATACTTTAAATAAGCTCTGTCGTCATCACCAGAATTTGAAATAACAGACTCTAGGGTGTTGCTTCGTGCTGTACTTTGCACCACATGCTTCACAACAACATTATTATTCTATGATAAGCAGCCATAAAATGTACCTATCGGTTTTTTCCTCCGTTCCTCCTCAGTGAAGACATGATCGAATTCTGATTGAGATCAACCCCACATAAATGTAAATAGTACCGATCATCATTATCATCATCATCATCGTAACACCCTTTCTTTTCTTGTCAAGTAGCAATCTCTCTCGCTTACAAACACATAACAATGAAGGCTTTTGCTGCTGAAACTCCCAATACCATGAGTGGTACTCATTAGATTCTCTGTTAATGACAATAAATTGTTAGAAAAATCTTCGGAGTTTTGGCACAGGAGATTTAGGAAGACTCTAGGCGACAAACACTGTTTGCTAAAACTTATAAGATCAAACGAACCCTAAATAAGTAATTGTTGTTCATGCAGATATCACCGAAAAGTGTGTGCATTGTGCTGAAAAAAATTAAATGCACGCATGAGCGTGTACCTGTACATGTGTGTGCACATATGTTGAAATGTGTATGCACGCACTACCTTAGTGTGCAACTGTGTGTCAAAATGTGTGTTGCAATGTACGTTAAGTTTGCACAAGTACTAACATGCTAGTTTAGTTAAGTTTACAAGTTGAAATGTGTGTAACTCATGCGGATTTACATCTTGATGTGCATGATTGTGGGTTGGCCTGTGCGTGAGATTGGACAACTAGTGCAATTAAGTACACATGCGTTTGCATTGGTGTGGATTACTGTGTGTGATGATTTAAACATAGGCATTAGCATGTGCATGAGACTAGACTTGAGTGTGCGTAGGATGATACAATGTGTGCGCGCATGTGAGACCCCTTGTGCGTCTCAGATTTAGAACAACTCCGACTCAAATATGAGATTTTAAGTGTATACAACACCGTGTGCAGTACATTTGTTAAGCGTGTGCATGCACATATACAGCGTGCACAATTATGTACAGAACACCGTGATTCAACTTTTTGTACAAGAACTACCGAATGTTTTTCAATTTATCTTGAGTAAAAATTTACAATTTGTATATTACGAACACACGATGTTAACATATATGTAACTGATTATCTGGTTTTATATTCATAAGTAATAGTGTTAATTGCCACGTAAGCGGTAATTAAATAAATAAGAGACCAATTAAAGCAAGTAAATAACTCTTATTGATCAATGAAGGCCCTAGTACAATCTACTTGGTTGCTCTGAGTACCGACTGACTGCGGTCGGGATTCTCTAACAACAACCTATCGATTGTCCAAAAATCCCTCACACTGTCGCTATCGCGGGTATTTATAGCCGCGGAGCCGGAGACACAAATCCGGCCGTTCGGCATGCTTCCCACGTAGCCACCACGTGTCGTCTTCCCGGGTGCCCTGCCTGTCAACGCGTGGAGCCGCCACGTGTTCCTCGTCAGCTCTCCCGCCAAAGGGCTACCTCTCGGTGGTCGACACTGCCGCTCGGGTAACTCCCGGTCGGATCCCGACCGGGTCTTTCACAAGAAACCCGACCTATTACCTGCAAAGACAAGAAGAAAAGGACGAAGGCACACCGGCCGGGGTAAAGCTATGTCGGTCGGGGTATTCCCTACCAATAAGTTCCTTTCAAATACTGCAGCCACACAATATTAACAGATTAGGATTAGATGACCCTATATTGTATTTATGTGTTTTGACTTAATTAGAAACACAATTTATATTCTAGAAGTTCACAATTCTAATACTAAAAATACACAATTTATACGTCGTTTAGGACCAGAGTTCACCTTGCAAGGTGAACCCAGGTCCATGGTATAACAACTCGTTTTCCTTAGGCAAATTGTCAATCGTTATACCGTGCACCAGGGCGTACATAGCAATGTGCGCCCCGCGCCTCCCAAAACGACGTCGTTTTGTTAATTTCAGGTATAATTTTATGTGCATTCTATTATATAATTCTGTACATTTAAAACATGAGAATTTTCAGTTATAAAATTCTGTGTTTCCAGGTATAAAATCATGTACATGCTATTATATAGTTCTGTACATTCGAAACATGATTTTTTTTTTTTAAAGAGTTAAGAGTTTATGTGTATTATGTTAAGAGTTTATGTATATTATGTATTATGTTAGATTATGTGTATTATATTTTCAAAAAAGATTATGTGTATTCAGTTATAAAATTCTGTGTTTTCAAATATAAAATTCTGTACATTCAAAACATGAAATTTTTTTAAGGAGTTAAAAGCAGACACACGAAAAGGTACAAAACGACGTCGTTTTGGGCCATGACACGGTATAATTTGCCGCAAATTGTAGTGTGAACCACAGTCCAAAATATCTTCATGAATATTATGAGTAAAAAATAGTATACATTACGTGTTAAAATAATGCACATTACGTATTAGAATAATGTACATTATGTGTTAAAATAATGTACATTACGTATTAGAATAATGAAATATTTGGGGTAATATATTGTACACTATATTTTAAAATAATATACATTATAAGTTATAAAAATACATTTTGTAGTTGGGCGCGCAAAATAATAAAATTAAGCAAAACGGCGTTATTTTTGGACTGTGATCCACACAGTTGCGGATTTGGACCCAAATATGTGAATTTCAATATAAAAACTGAATGCATATTTTGGCCCATTAATCTTCTGCAGAAACCCTTCTTCAACCCCACTCTCTCATGGTTTCTGTAAAACACAGCACAGAGCAGAAATGCTGATCCAACAACGCTCTGTCCTGGCCCGAGCTCTAAACCACCGTCTCCGTTACTACTCCCAGTCTGCCGCCGCCGCGGTCGCCGTCCCGCCGGATTCCCCTTCCCCAGAGCCCCCGTCTCTGACATACCTCGACGGGTTCCCAAGACCCGACCCCAAATACGCGGAGACTATCCATGCAATCCCGCGAGCTGTCTCCGGCAAGAACATCTCCGCCAAGGAGAGGAAAGCTGGCCGAGTTCCCAGCATAGTCTTCGAGCAAGAGGATGGCCAGCACGGCGGCAACAAGCGCCTCATTTCCGTGCAGACCAATCAGATCAGGAAGCTCGTTACCCATTTGGGCCGAACGTATTTTCTTTCCAGACTCTTTGATCTTGAGCTCCGACCCAATTTTGATTCCGGGGAGGAGATCATAGAGAAAGTTAGGGTCTTGCCTAGACAGGTATGGCCTATTCCATGGAGTTTGTTTTTCTTTGATTCAGGAAAGTTTATTAAGAATATTTGGTAATTTCCTGAGTTTCTTGTGTTCTGTTCTGTTGGTACTCAATGTGTATTGAAGTAGAAATGTATGTAATGGTGGGGTTAATCTTTCAAGTCTCTTGAACTAGTTTAGCACAAGGGTATGCTGAAAGTAAGGACATTGAAACTTGAAGCTGTATGCATGGCAATGGTATAAAATAAGTGAATGATTTGAGGATTAGATGAAGTTGTGATGAAAGTGTACATTTGAATAATATAGAAGTTGAATTGAAGTTGTTTTGCATATTGCTACATGTAAGGTTATGGTTTTTCATAAAAAAATTTGGCACTTGATGGGGTTATAGCTGAAGAATACATTTTGCAATCTACTTGATAAGTTGAAATACCAATGATTTTGGGGGTGTTTGGTAATAGCTTTTAGTTGATCAGGTTAGTGAGTGTGACTAGTTGATAGCATTAGCTGATTGTGGAAAGATGTTTGGTAAATTAGTTGTTAGCTGATAGCTGATTACATACAAAATGACTTTCTCAAAAAAGCTGATTTGAACAACTTTTTGAATTTTAGTGTTTTAGAGCAATAAGTAGTTACAAAAAGTTAATTAATCAAACACTCATATTGTTTGTTTAACTAAGTCAAACAACTAATAGTGGTCAAATAAGCCAAAATTGGATGATAGGCTAACTATTTTACCAAAGTCAAACAGCTAATAGTGGTCAAACAAGCCAAAATTGGATGATAGGCTAACTATTTTACCAAACAGGGTCATTTGTTCACTACTTGGCTTCCACCCTTTTTTTTTCAATTTTCTTTGATAGAATATATTATGGAAGGAGTCTTTAATTTAACAGGATAGGTTAAGCCATAATTGAATTTCGAATGCCTGGATTCACTTTCAGCTATACTGCCTAGCTAATGCCTTGATGGGGTAAATTTTGCATTGAAATAAGTCAAAGAACTTCATATTTGTATAGAATCTAAAAGATGGGTAAATAACCAGCTTGGTTGGTGTGAGTGGCCGTGCACTCTTGTCCCTTAAGAGAGGTCGGGAGTTTGAACCCCCTCTCATATGGAAAATTAATCTGGCCAGCACTTTGCTCCTTATTTGGACCGGCCCGGTACGAACGGAGATTAGTCTGAGTATGGTACGGGCTTAAAGAGTCCTCCTACAGTTAGGACCTGTTCAGGACACCTTGTGGTCTGACCAAAAAAAAGTTGGGTAATTTGTATAGAATCTAAAAGTTGGGTATTTTGTAAGATGCACTGATTTTATTGTTTATTTGATTTGTGTCAGATTCATCTGCATGCAGGCACCGATTCTCCACTTAATGTTACCTTCATAAGAGCTCCATCAAGTGCTCTACTAAAGGTTGACATTCCAGTTGTCTTCAGAGGTGATGATGTCTCCCCCGGGTTGAAAAAAGGTATGCGAAATCCGCTACTGATTTCTTGTACAACAGCTAAGCTTATGAAGTATGCGTGTGAAATACGCTACTGATTTCCTATCTGCTAGCCTACTGTGAACTAATTTGGCGAAACCGTTATATTGGCAAACAACTTGTAGAACACAATATAGATGCATTGTTGCATAGAGGATGGACCGACAAATTACATATTAATGTTAGTTTAGCAATTTGGCAGGGTCTTATCTGAATGTTATCAAGAAAACAGTCAAGTTCCTCTGCCCAGCAGATATTATTCCTCCTTACATTGACGTGGATCTAAGCGAGCTGGATGTTGGGCAGAAGATACTAATGGGGGATCTCAAGGTTCATCCAGCTCTGAAGCTTGTCCAACCGGAAGACCATCCCGTTTGCAAGATTATGGGAGCAAGGGTTTCCGACCAAAAGAAATCGAAATAAATTCCTTCTAATTTTGTTCAACTATTGTGAAAATTTTGGAAAGCCATTAGGAAATCCAGACTAGCCTAAGGTCTGTTTTGGATGATGTAATTTGTTCCCTGGTCACATTGATTTGTGCTTTTATCTCTGATTAGTTGCTTACACTGAAGAAAGGGTTCTCCCAGAATATGCTTGTGGCTTTACATCAAGAAATATTCCATTTTATGGAGGTCATGTGTTCATTGCTGTGAAATAATATGTACTTCTTGTAATGGGCTAATTGATACCTTAGACATGAAAGATAATGGCTAAAGTTGATTTAGGAACCAAATGATGTCTTATCTATGAAAAGGGAAATTCTACAAGGTGCGAAAAGTTTACTTCCAAAATAAACTCCCTGAGCTAGCTTCCTTAGCTGGCTGCTGTCGCATCAACATTTTTTTTTTTTTTAATTCTTTCGATTTTTTTCTTAAGAAGAGATATTTGGCGTGCAAATAGAGCCATTTATTGTTTATTGCTTGTTGAGAAGTTGTTGTCGCCTTTCATCACTACTATGATACCGTCAGAAAACTAAGGCTCGCCGAAGGAAGCTTGTTGAGAAGCGAAAGCTTGCTGAGAAGCTGCTGTGTGCTCATCTGTACACGCCGGAGGGAAAGGAAGGCTGAAGAAGGTCCAACTGTCGAAGACAGTTGACGAGAGACAGCAACAGCAGCATATCGGCGGTGCATCGGAGAGAAAGAGAGAGAGGAACATACAGAGAAGAGAGAAAGAGACGGCGGCGCACCGGAGAGACAGCAGCATATCGGCGGTGCATCGGAGAGAAAGAGAGAGAGGAACATACGGAGAAGAGAGAAAGAGACGGCGGCGCACCGGAGAGAAAGAGAGAGGGGAACATATGGAGAAGAGAGAAAGAGATGGCCGGAGAGAAAGAGAGAGTGGAACATACAGAGAAGAGAAAAAGAAACGGAGAAGAAACAACCCTATCAAAGAGAGGGGAGGGGACAAAGAAGAGATAGAAATGGGACAAAGAAGAGAGAGAAATGGGACTGAGAAGGAGTAAAAAAATTGGAACAATCTAAACCACATAATTTTATTTATTTTTTAATAAAAAGTAATTGCACGTCAAGGAGTGTTCTTTTGGGAGTAAAATTGGGAGTACCTCTAGAACTCCCATGAAAAATATGTATTAGAAAGATGTGCATGTTGTGTTAAAATGATTTGCATACTAACTCAAATCGATAGTATATGAAGTCCCTATATCATATTGTTTTGTTTAATTTAGTCAATGTATCTTAATTTTGTTTAATTTAGTTCATGTATTTTAAAAAGTCGTACAATTAAGGATAATAGTTAACGTCTTAATATTACTTAGAGCATCAATATCAGTTGGGATTATTTCTTAGTTTTTTTGTGGGTACAATTAAAGATAAATGTTATTTTCTTTCCATGAATCATTCCGAAGATTTCTAAAAAAAAAAAAAAAAAAAAAAAAACCACCTCTATTGTTTAATTAACTATAGTAAAATAATCAACTCTATCATTAATAATTAAACCAAATATTAAAAAAAATCCAATATAATGACACATCAAGAATGTATATTACGAAACTATTTCAATAAGAGAATATAAGTATATAACACTACTCAATTTATACAGATTATGCATGGACTTAAAAATCAACAGAGCATGTATTTCTTTTTTATTAATGTATATGAGTTTTGTAAACATACATTCTCAAAATGAATACATGACAACCAAAATGAAATAAGAGAACAAAAAAAATAAAATAAAATAAAATTCCTAAATCCATTCTTTCATTCAGAACTTCTTTAATTCCACTTGAATTCTGAACCATGAAAGCATATCCTCTACACCTTCAATCCCTCCATTCACTCCACTGCAGCTGATAACATGAGAAATGTCAGCTTCACTACTTTGCCAAAGCCACTGAATGAGATGACAGCAAGCCTCCTTCACTACTACGGAATCGTTTACTTCATTTCTCTGTTTTTCCTTTTTCCAGTTTTTCATTTTTCCAATTTTCCATCTCAATTTCTCCAATTTTCATTTACAAATTTCATAATACGGAGCACAAGTAATAATAATAATAAGAATAATTTCATTTTACAAATTTAATTTTTAAATAAAAAATTTAATACAATAATACTAAATGTATAGAAGGTAACAAAAGTCAATAAAAACATATTACTAAATAAATTACAACTATTTTAATCATTTCAGTAAATAGTTTGAGTACATAATAATAAAATTAATAATTGTTATAAATCTTATTAAGTACGGACATTATTTCTATTCATTACGTAATGGTCGGAGGTTTATGACTACACTTATGGTTTCCATTATAATTATATTTCATATATATGTACTTGTACCTTCTTGTAAAGTGGTTGGTTGATGAAGGATATAATAAAACTTCCTGACCCTCTACTTGCTTGCAATTGCATTCACCGGTTAGGAACTAAATGGCAACGGCCATCAAACTTGCACGCTCAACTACTGTGAATAGTACAAATTCCCCTTTCATTCTAATATGCATTTTTTTTTTTCCATAATTGATATATGTTATATGCAATTCGAATGTTTTCTTGTATATGCAATTCGTATGTCTTAACACTGGCGGAGCCCCCCCACTGCCCCCACTGCCCCATCCCTTAGATATTGTATATATATAATATATACCAAGTTGTAAGCAAAGATTTACTTAGTTTAGATGGTAAAGCTTCCATATGGAATGGTCTCTAGTTCGAATCCTAAAGCACTTATTTTGAAGTTATCCAATATGTAATATGTTTATATGCAATGTATGTGAGTTATATGTATGTACGTGACTAATGTGAGTTATATGTCTTAAGTTACTATTATATTGTCTGTATATACATGTTTTGTGCATAGTCCATTGCTTATAAGTTATGAGGTAAGTTACGAGTGTATATACATGTTTTGTGCATAGTCCATTGCTTATAAGTTACGAGTGTATATACATGTTTTGTGCATAGTCCATTGCTTATACGTTATGAGTATTTTTATTTTTTTATTTTTGCTTCGGTTATGAAAAAATTCTTTAAAAGAAATTTTACTTTCGAGGATTCATTAGTCAAGTAGAATTTTGCCCACACTCACAAAAATCCTGAATCCGCCATGGTGTCTTAATATGCAATTGCTTTAACTATACAATTTATATGCCTTTTGTGTATATACGAATATTGCCTGTTTTGCTGGAAATTTTTTTACTACAAATCTCCCCTTTCTCCATCATTATTTGCTAATAAAATAAATTTTTTCCATCAGAGAAATATATAAACTCTTAGAATTCAACAACAATTTTTTTTTTTTCAAAAAGAAAAATCATCATCAACAAGTTTTCGTTCTACACCCAAAAGCAGAATACCCAATTTTTTTTACACTCAAGTGTTCGAAGAAAAAAAAAAACAACAACAAAAAACTGATTGCTTTATGTACCAAAAATATATGAATGCTTTTCAAATATTTTTTGAAAAGTTTTTTTTTTATACATACACTGTATATGTATATTTTTTCTGCGTTCGATCCTGATTTACTTGGCGATGGAGACGGCGGTGGCAGGTTGTCGCCGGCTCTGCTGCGTCCCGGTAGTGGCCGACGCTCCGGCGGTGGGCGGTGGCGACAGTTATTGACGTCGCGCAATTTCTTTAATTTTTTTTTTTTTTTTTTTTTTTTTTTTTTTTTTTTTTTTTTTTGCGATCGCAGCTCTTGTGTTTTTTCATTCGTTCCTGGCAGATAATATTTTGCTAATAGGGTTTCTTTCCTATTTTTTTTTATTTGAACCTGGGCTATTTTTTAGGCCTAATATGTTCAAGAAATAATGATATTATGTGTTTTGGACTTTTTAGTTGTTTTGGGTCCTTTATATGCTATTAGGCAAATTTTATTGTGGACCATGGTCCATGAAATAAGTATCATTCTAATTAAACTTTATTTCATTTGGCAATATTGCTATGTTTTTCAGTTTTATTTTCTATACACACTAATTTTAATATAGCAATACGAAAGTATCATTTTAATTATACTATAGTTTCATTTGACAATATACATTATTGTATGAGTTCTATTTTGTAGTTTCATTTTCCACACACTAGTTTATTTAATTATAATAATGCTAAAGTATTATTTTAGCAGTCCACGTTCATTTGACAATATAAGTTATTGTAAATTTGTATGGCTAGATTTTAGTTTCATTTTCCACACACACTAGTTTCATTTTAACAATATAAATATCATTTTAATTATAACACAGTTTCATTTGACAATATACGTTGTTGAATGAGCTCTGTTTTTTAATTTCATTTTCACATGCACTAATTTCATTTTAACAACACTAAAGTATCATTTTAATTTTACTACAGTTTCATAAATTCTGGAATTTAGTTCATTCATTCTAGAATTTTAGTTCATAGATTAGATTCTGGAATTTTAGTTCATTCATTCTGGAATTTTAGTTCATCGATTCTGGAATTTTAGTTCATATGTTGTTGCTGGGAATCGAAACTTGATTTTTTTAAAAAAATGAGACGCGCGTTTTTAATATAACGACGTCGTTTTTGCATCCGTATGCACCATGCATGGTGCATACGGATGCACGGCATAATTTGCCCTTATGATATATATACATGTATAAATTGTTTTGGGTTAGAAACTTGATTCATTTTCAAGAATTTTAAAATATATTATGTTAAATTTGTAATTCAATTTATTATTTGAATCTATTATTGAATATGCTCATAAATTAAAATTATTATTGTTGTGCAATTTATTTGTTTAATTTGAATTCTTATGCATATTAGCATGCTCTATAGTTTTGATTATCCCGCATATACATTATTCTTTAGAAGTACACCCTTGATTTTAGCAAGACCTAGTGTATATGGATTATTTTTGTGAAAAATCTACATCTTGGCTACTATCACTAAATATGCATTTACTGTAGCTCTTATCTCGGATGGGAGCAGTTATCTAAAATGAGATTTATCTCACACCTACGCAAATTGAAGAAATGATCGTTGTGTAGTTCACGAGCTATAAGGTCTTGAAAGCTAAAAGCCCTAATTTCTTTTTCTCATCACCATCTGAACCATGACCTGAAATATGAATACCTTCCTGAATATTATGACCCTTATACCTTATATAAATCCTCGAAGGATAGTTCATGTCTAGCTAACCTGCACCAGTGCCCGAAGCACACAATGTTGCTCAGTCATGCAACGTCAAGAGGGGTCGAGGAAGAGGTCGCGATAGGAATCAAGGCAAAGATGGCGACAATAACTCTCAAAATCAGACTAAAAAGCAAAATGATCCAACTCGTAGAGGACAACCACATTCATATCATCATAAACTCTGGCCCACCAGCAAAGTATGCTTCACATGTGGGTGTAAAAGGCACTGATCACGTGCGTGCCACAGCTCGAAGCTTTCTCCTGAAACCTGAATGAACAACACAATGTTGAATCCAACAAAGATGCCTTGCCTGAAGCAAAGGCTCTTCTTGGTCATATTTATGACCTAACTTTAGAACATCTTTTTTAATGGTCTTTATCAATACTTCCACCCAGTAGACACATGTGAACATGTTGTCAATTACGAACAACATACTTGTTGAATTTATGAGCAAACGTTATTTAATTAAATGTTCAATTCCCCGATTATCCTCGTAAGCATATAAGGATGGATAATGATGGTGAATTCAACTCGTCATCTTTTTACGATTGTTATTAGGCATTACGATGAATCATCTTATGCCTTCCCACCTGAAATGGTTTAGCTAAATCTCTAAAATTAAATTGCTTGCTAAATCATTTTTTTCAACAATCCAATGTGCCGGATATTAGTTGGGGAAGTGCAGTATTCACGCTGCTACTTTAATACTAAATATCCGGCACATTGCATGTCCTTATTCTCCTTTACATCTAATACGTGGTTTCAAATCAAACATTTCCCAATCTGCGTTTCTATTTCTATGTATGCAGTCCATTCTATAACCACCATAATGTATCTCTAAAAACTCCATTTGTTGTCTCAAATATTTAGAGCCCCTGAGAGGGACGCAATGGATACGCTAACTGCATGAAAATCGCTTCACGGTATTAGGGGAGATATGATCAAAATTGAAATGGAACGTCGAGAAATTTCATGAAATGAAATGATCTTCAAAACTTAAATTCACGTACCAATTAGACTGAACTGTAAGTTCAGAAGGAGATCAATTACAATCTGCCAAATAAATCTATTTCATACAAGAATGACTAAGTCTCGTACACATTTCTCAAATTGGACATTGATTTAACTATATTATTTATTTATTTATAAAATTTATTTGTAATATTTATGGGTAAATAATATTTTGTGGACATTGCACAATGAATTATAATAGTTATACAATATTAAGTAAAATTGTCTTTCAAATTCTAAAATTTGATATCAAAAAGAAAAACTTGGAATAAAATAGAGAATTTGACATTTATTCTCTATGCCATCAAAAAGAAAAACTTTAGAATAAAAAAGCTAAAAAAGAAAAAGAAAAAAAAAACCCTATAGGCTATAGAAGGCGAAGTTGAGTTACTGTACACAATAAGGCAGAGGGATTTTGCATTGCGTTGGGTTTCTGCTCAGTAGTCGCCCGTCCACCCCAAATTTGATCGAGAAAATGAGCGGAACAGCGAAGAAAGTTGCCGACGTTACGTTCAAGGCCGGCAAGACAATCGATTGGGAAGGAATGGCGAGGCTTCTCGTCTCCGATGAGGCTCGGAAGGAGTTCGCTTCCCTCCGCCGCGCCTTCGACGAGGTCAATTCCCAGCTTCAGACCAAGTTTAGCCAGGTCCCTATTCAATCTCTCTCTCTCTCTCTCTCTATGTGAATTTACAAATATGTGGATCTAGTGCTTGATTTCGGATTGCTATTCATTGATGTGGCTGATGGATCTATATTTTGATGTTTTAAGAGATTAATCTTTTTTATTTCTCCGTATTTGTTATTTGAAAGTTTTATGAAACTATTGGTAGAAAGCGTTATTTGTGTGAATTTTTGCTGTTTTCCTTAGAATTGGAGACCTTGTAAATCATTCCATACTCCATATTAAAAAAAAATGGAATTATGTTGTCATGTATTTTAGAAATTTGTTGTGGATGACCATAGTTTTATGTTTGAACTACTTTTCTGAATGTAGTGAATTATGGGAAGGGAAAATGAAATTTTTGTTTCAGGAGCTTGTCACTGTTGTAAGATGATGAACGATCAGTAGATCACACGGGAGATGAGTGGTAGATTTTGCACCTTCAATATGTCCATTTTCTTCCTTAATTGATGGGTTTGGTTTTCTAATGCTTAATATATTGCACAGTTTAGGGAGTTAAACCCAACCTGATTGATTACCTGATGGTTTTCTTTGTTCAAGGCAGTAGAAATAATGTAAATGTGATATTATAATATTTACATTTACTTTAGGAAATTTTAAATTTCGTATGCAAATATGATATTTGTTAATTCACACAGGAACCTGAACCCATAGATTGGGAATATTACAGAAAAGGACTTGGTTCTCGCTTGGTGGATATGTACAAGCAGGCATATGAGAGTATGTTGTATTTTCACTTACCATTTTTCTTCATTGATTGCATAGCAACTCGATGAATTTCTGGATTTCTGTGACCTAGGCTAGTAAAATTGCACTTTTTTTTTCTTTTTTTTTTTGGTGAGATTTATGATGAATCAAAACACTATTTGGAAGGTGTTCTCCTCCTCCTGCCTCCTGTGGTCTGGTGGGAATGAAATTATATAATGTTCCCATGTGCAAAAGAATTATTCCTATGGGTTTGTTTTACCTTTTTGTGATTTATGATGAATCAAAACGCTGTTTGGAAGGTGTTATCCTCCTGCTTCCTGTGGTCTGGTGGGAATGAATTTATGGAGAAATGACAAGAAATTGGGGGTTGTTGACACATTTTGTCATGTGGATGTAATTCTTTTGCACATGGGAACATTACCCAAGCAGAAATTGAATGTCTAGACCACTCCAACATACTTGTATACTTGCTCTTGCACCAAGCTGCCACAGTTGTGTTTACTATTCTATATGCAATTTTTGTTGCTCCTGACTAGGATCAGTATATCTAGATAATTTCTTACTATGTTGCCTGGGGCCATAGGACTTAACTTTCCTGGATGGTTATGAACAAATTGGAAGACCTATTCCTCTGCCTCTTAATTTTGGTTCTGCTTGTTAACAGCTGTTTATTTTCATTTAACCTTGCGATAATTCTTTTATCTGTAAATTTGTTACTTAATTTTATACAAATTGTTCTTATGGCAGGTATTGAAATCCCTAAATACGTGGACACTGTCACTCCCCAATATATGCCCAAGTTTGATGCCCTGGTAAGATGATTATTGATATTTGACTGAGATTCATGTTTTGATGGTTACTTCTGTTGTCATCCCCTTTTGGAGTAATACTAAGTAATGAGAAATGTTTGCTTAGAGACTGTTTGGTACTTGGGTAATTCCTGGGAATGTGTTTGTACAGAACAACTTTATTCTGAAAATTAGTAAACATGTTTAGTGTTACCATGGATTCATGGAAATATAACAATTAAATTTCTTGGAAAGTGATTTCTAGCATTTGGTATGGTTAAATTTTCTAAGGAAATTTTCTTTAGTTTGAAATACACCCTTGCCACATGCAGGCAAACAAAAAAATTACTGTCACTAACTTATTATACTGACATACTGCTCTTCTTGTTGCAAGGTGTACCTCTAAAATTTCTTCTAAATGATTTTTTGAAACATCAAATACTTTCCTTTCCCCCTTGTAATTATTGGCTTTGTGAGATCAACTTATGGTGATAGAAAAATAAGATGCCTACAGATGAAGAATGCCAATCCCGGTAGCCTTGTATTGGTACCATGTGGCTGGTTGTGTGTCAATAATCTTTAAAAAAACCATAACATTTGAAAGCTTTGTTTTTGAGCTTGACTGTTACTGTTGTAACATGATTGTGTACGGAAGGTTATACAAATTTAGTGAAGTTTACCTGCTCCTTTAGTTTTAGGTTATCACAATTTGTATTTAGAGTGTTATTTATGAGATAGGTAAGTAATTGGGTAAATTCTACATATTCCTGACTACCTAGGAAAAAGAATTCGCCCCCTAGGTTATATTTACTTACCCTAATTTCAACCAAAACTTTCTCAGGTCAAAGCCCGTGCCAAGCATGGGAATAACTTTCCCACAGTTTCAATTGCCAGGAAAGTTTGGACTTTCCCGGCTACCAAACGGCCTCTTAATGAAACTTGACAAGATTATTTTTTAATTCTAGAAATGAGTAAAGAAAACTCATTTTCTGTTCAATCTAAAAGCATACAGATGCTATTTGCTAAAGAAAAGATTTTCAAGATATGAGCAGATGACCACAAAAACTACCTCCAAATATAATTATAAGAGCTAATACCATCTAGGGTCCTCCGAGCATAGTGGTTTTGCCACATTTAGTCCTAAACTTTTAAATTGACCACCTGAGGTCCTTTGACTTTCAAATTGTTACCATACGCACGGTCCTTCAACTTTCAAAATTTAACCAGTCGTGGTCCTCCTGGAGTCTGAAAGTTGTGTTAATCTAATAATCTAGTTGTCTTTGTTGTAGGTGGTAGAGCTGAAAGAAGCTGAGCAGAAATCTCTCAAGGAGTCTGCAAGACTAGAAAAAGAAGTTGCAGATGTCCAAGAGTTGAAGGTTATGCAAATGTGCTTTTGGTGCTTCCATTCTTCCAGACCTGTCCCCATTTCCCCCGAATTCCACCTCTTGTCTATGCATGTGGAGTGCTAATGTCTTTTTTTCTTGATTAACAGAAAAAACTCAGTACTATGACAGCAGAAGAATACTTTGCTAAGCATCCAGAGTTAAAGAAGAAGTTCGATGATGAAATTCGTAATGATTACTGGGGTTACTAGTTGACTTGATGTAGCTGCCTGCTTTATTGCCTTGGTGGACTTTTATTTCGTTCATCATTGGTTTAGAAATAAAAGAGAATTAATTGGTTCCCCGTTCCATTTACGGGTTGAGTTGAAGAATGTCAAATAGATTACATATTTTTGAGGTGTCATTGCATACTTTCGCTTAAGGAACCAAATATTTTCCAGTTAAAAATGGAATATTAGATCATTTTGAGGTTCTTCTTTGCATAATATTAACAGTTATCTAAATTAATAATTATAATAAACTAAATTAAATTAGTTTGTATTTTGAAATTAATTAATACTTACCAATTTGTTTCCACATTAAAACTAAAGATGGTTGCATGAGAGAAATGTGGAAACGATTATTTGACTTGAAAGCTTTTGCCCTTTGATAATCTGAATCCATTTATGTGGGACTGTGGGTGATGCATCATTATTTGTTGAGTTCTCTTTCTGATCTTTTTGCTTCTTTATGTTTGGATCAAGTTTGTCTACTAAATCGTTGCAAATAAAATGTATGGGTATTTGATTTCTGTAGCCATATGCCCATATTGTCAAATAGAGAAAATTTAAATTTTGGTCCACAGACTATTGCACTTGTGTTAATTGCAACACTTGACTTTCAAAAATATTAAAGTTAGTACTTTGACTATGCAATTCTTATCAATTTTGGTCACGCCGGCCAAATGTGACCGGAAAAACTTAAACCTTTTTAAAATTTTTAGTCATGGGGGCAAAATAGTCATTTTACGTTAAAAAAAATAAAAAATTATTTACTTCTTCTTCCTCAACACCTCCAATATAAGAAAGGTCTAAGGTTCGAACCTAAGATCTTTCTTATATAAATTAATGAGTAAGTTAAAAATAATAAATAGTTAACGAAATATTCAGTTATTAAAGTTTATACTAACGGAATTTAAGTTATTTAAGGGAAGAAAATAATATAATAGAGGGTAAATAAGGAAAATTATTAAAAAAAATACTAAAATCAAAATAATATGAACCAGTCCCGACATTTTTTTGTTCCAGTTAAGGGCCTAATATTATTGGCTTTTATTATAATTGTATAATTGTATGTATAGATTTCTCTTATATTCTATTTCCTACCTTTTTAAATGACTATTTCTCCATTTTTTTTTATTTCCCCCTTTTTTTTTTTTTTTTGGTGAGATTGAGGGGCTTAAAGCCCCAAGAAACTAAGCAATCCTTCTAGTTGCGACGCCATTGGCGTCACGCACAAGAAGGGAGATCATGTCTATAGGTGGGAAGTCCAGCAAAGTTGTTCCCCAAGGATTGCCATGCCCCATGTTTGCTAGGTAGTCAGCACTTTGGTTGCCTTCACGGAGGACATGCCGGAGTTCATGGTCGAGGAAACCTTCCATTAAGACTTTGCAATCCAGAATTAAGGTATCCGCCTCCGGACTGGATCTCGAGTCCATGCGAAGAGCCTGAACTAGCGCCTCTGAGTCCGATTCTATGATGAGTTTCAAGATCTGCTCATTTTTAGCCATAATGAGCCCCTCGCGGAGACCCCAGAGCTCGGCAATAAAACTGTTTGTAATGCCAATTTTAGAGGTGAACCCTCTAATCCAGTTACCGATATGATCACGAAGCAGGCCTCCAGCACTGGCCATGCCGGAGCAAGATTTCCTAGAGCCATCCGAGTTGAGCTTCATCCATCCCAGAGGAGGTGGTGACCAGTTTACCCAAATCTGTTTCGCTATGCTCGGGCCTCTATGATTAAGAAGGTGATGCTTTGCTTCTTCTGTCTGGTGGGCAGCCCGTCTCCAAATCTCCCTCGCTGGTATATCATTATGGTTGAACACGAGTTCATTCCTTACTTTCCAAAGATTCCACAGCATGTGAGGGAAGAAGATGCTCCAGTTGATGTCGCTGGCAGAAGGTGGCGACGAGCAGCCGGCATTTCTGATCCAGCTTGTCAGGGGGCAGATGGAGGTTGCATCAAAGTGATTCGGGGGGTGGCAGAGATTCCAGCATTCAGCTGCCAACTCGCATCTACGGAAGAGGTGGTCTAGCGATTCTTGTTCCCTCTCACATCTTGGGCAGGAATCATCATAGGTGAGGCCTCGGTGCTTCCTCTCAGCATTTACAAGGACCCCATTGTTGATAATTTTCCAAATGAAGATTTTTATTTTTTCCATGCATTTCAGATTCCACATCCAGCCTTGATCAGTAGGATCCCCGGTATGACCTGCAATTAAGGAATAAGCAGATTTAACAGAAAAAAGGCCCGTACCTGAAGGAGACCACGATAGGGAATCTTGTTGCTCGCTGTTGATGCTGATCGGGACCGCCCGAATAGTGTCGACTACAGGCGTCGGCAGTAAGTCTGAGCAGAGTCTGGTATTCCAGGTTCTATTTGGGGAAATAAAGTGACTAACCGTTTGTTGCACCGCATCGTGGGGATGCACAACATTTGGGAGGGAAGCAAGCGGGACGTCCCCAACCAAGTGGTCGTGCCAAAAGTTGAGGGTGTTACCATTACCAATTTTCCATTTGACGCCTTGTTGGAGAATTTGGCGCCCTTTGATAATACTTCTCCATCCCCAGGAACAGTTATTGGAAGTGTCAACCGAGAAGAAATTCACGTCTTTCATGTATTTCTGGGTCATAATCTGGACCCAGAGTTTATCTTTATTGGAAACCATTTGCCACGCAAACTTAGTGAGGAAGGCTTTGTTGACCTCTTGGGTTTGCCTTAGACCCAACCCCCCCATGTCTCGTGGTGCACACACCTCAGACCAGCTGACCGAGTGCACCTTTCTTGTGTCTTCCGAGTGCCCCCATAAGAAGTTCCTGCAAATCTTGTCAATACTTTTACAAGTACTTACCGGTAAGGCCATGGATTGCATGATATAGGTTGGAGTTGTGGCTAGAGAGGACTGGACCAAAACCCTTCTACCTGCCATGCTTAGGGTACTAGCTTTCCAGTTAGCTAGCTTTCTTCGCATCTTATCAGTAACGGTTGAAAAGGTCGTCTTGGAAACCCTCTTGTGAAGAAGGGGGATCCCGAGGTAGGTACCTAGGGACGAAGTTACCGGAATTCCTGTGTGTTCTCCAATGCCTCTTTTGACCCCTGCATTAATATTGGGTGAACAAAAAATTTGGGACTTAGAGAGATTTACCTTAAGGCCGGAGGCGTGACTGAACTTGTTTAGGCAATCCATCATAACCATAGCTTGATGTGTCGAGGCTTCACCAAATAGCATTAGATCGTCTGCGAAGAAAAGGTGCGAGATACCAATACCGCCTCTAGAGACCGATAAGGGCTTCCAGTTTTTCGCAGCTACCTCTTTTTGGATGTCAAAGGCCAGTCTTTCCATAATCAGGTCAAAGAGGTAAGGGGCAAGCGGGTCCCCCTGACGGAGTCCACGTCCCGGGGAAAAGGAGGGCAGATGTCCACCGTTCCAAAGGATAGAAATGTCACTCTCTTTAAGAGAGAAGAGAATGAGCTGCGTGATGTTTCTGGGAAAACCAAACCCATCAAGAGTTTCTTCAAGGAAGGACCAATCCACACTATCATAGGCATTCTGGAGATCCACTTTGAAGACCATAAGTCCTTTTCTACCCATCTTCTTATTCATCGTGTGGATAACTTCTTGAGTGAGAATCACGTTATCCAACGTTGAGCGGCCCGGGAGGAAGCTGTTTTGGTGAGGTCCTATAAGCCGACACATGATGGGCCTCATACGGTTGACTAGAACTTTTGACACCACTTTGAAAGCCACATTGAGCAGAGTAATGGGCCTAAAGTCAGAGGCTGTCTCCGGGACATCTTTTTTGGGAATAAGAGTAATAAACGCCCGCAGAAGAGAAGTCGGGACTTTGCTGGTGCTAAGAGCCTGGTTGACTAACCCCGTAAGAGTTGGTCCAATATCTTCCCAAAAATGTTGATAAAAAACCGCCGGGATGCCATCTGGACCGGGGCTACTGAACTTCTTCATACCAAGAACTACTTTCCTAACTTCCTCTATCGTGGCTCTCCGAGACAACTGACTGGCTTGTTGTCTCGAAATCTTACGATCCTCTGCGATCTGAACCAATTCTGAGCTCCCATTCCTGTCAATTCTGTCAAAAAGCGAAGCAAAGAACGAAGTGATATGGTTAGCAAGAGTATTATTATCATCCGTCCAATTACCGTTTATTTTGAGGAACCTGATTCTGTTTCTGTTTCTCTTAATAATGGCGGAGTTATGGTAGAACCGGGTGTTTCTATCCCCATCTTTAATCCAGTTGGCCCTTGACTTTTGGAACCAGAGAGTCTCTTCATGATCAAGCACCCGCATGAGATTAGCGGCAAGCCATTTTTCCAAGGCCTGGAGCCCCCTCGAGGTAGCATAGTAGGGACTAGATTGGATACCCCGAATCCTGGCCTCGAGATCGCGCTTCCGTTTAAAGATATTACCAAACACATCACGATTCCAGGATTTGCTATGTTCTGTGATATGTCCAAGGATGTTATCAATATCTTGCTCGCCTCCTTTCGTGGCATTTTCCCAAATCAGACCATAGTCTTCTCTATTAAGCCATGCTGCCTCGAACCGGAACGGACGGAGATTTCTATCCGGCGGTGCGCCCGCCACATCCATGAAAAGAATTGGGTTGTGATCAGAGTGTAGCCGTGGAAGGACCACAACCTTGGCCTCGGGAAAGGCCAACTGAGCATCCATATTCCAAAGAACTCTATCAAGTCGGCGCATCTGAGTAACTCGGTTACCCACAAAGCGGCACCAAGTGAATTTAGTACCAACCGATCCAGGATCTATGAGTCCACAGCTACTAAAAGCATCGGTGAATCTTTGCATACCCGGGATGTTAATAAACTCACTTCCCCATTGCTCTTCTACCATAGATATATCATTGAGGTCGCCCATGAGAATCCAAGGGCACTGAATAGAGTTACTGAACAGCTTACAGTCCTCCCAAAATCTAGACTTGGCCATCAGGTTAGGTCTGACATAGGCAAACGTGACATAGCCTCCTGCCACCTTCGTATGGATTGCCTGTGAGGAGTGTTTAACAACCTGTAAATCTGTTTGCCCCTGCTTCCAAAAGAGGAGCAAACCACCTGCAAAACCAATGGGCTCAACTAGAAAATGATTAGTGAATCCCATGGAAATAGCCATATTAACCATACCCTCCACTCTGGGGGAACGGATCTCCAGGAGACAAAGGATATCGGCTTTGGACGAGAGTAAAAGCTCTCTTACGTGCTTTCTAACACGTCCATTGACAACACCCCTACAATTCCAGGAGATGGCAATCATTGAGAGATATCGGTAGGCAGAGAAGTTTGGCAACCACCTTCTTCAGGTGTGAAACAAGCCATGGCGGCTGGGTATTCAAGACCCGAGTTCCCAAAACCAAAACCAGTAAAGGTGGCATTCAAGCCCCCAAACTGGAAGGATGAAGCAGAGGCTCCAAGGCCAGAACTCTCGCCCGGCGCAAAACTACTAGCATCAAAGGAGATAGAATTATCAGTTGTCCCTCTTCTACCCGCAATCCTGGTACCGCCGCGGAAGGTCGTGCGAGAACCCCCACGGCCACCGCCAACTTGGCCGGAGTAACGTTGGGCCGTCACCCGATCCACCTGAGCAGCCCTCTGAATGGGTGTCACGCTAATCCCCTGAACAGAGGGGGTTGACGGATGAGAAGGAGCAGGATTAGAAGACTTACCTTTCCCGCTCTCACCATTCTTTTTCTTCTGGTTATTTTTAGTGGAAGACTGGCGGTTGTCCTTACTCGATTCCTTCAATCCACTCAAGGATTGGAATTGGTTACCTTTGGGTCGGGGTGCTGCATTCTTGCTTTTGGTCTGATTATGATTCTTCTTGGCAGCCTCCACGGAACGTTTCCGAGTCACCACCATCCACGGACCATATTTGGCCCTAACGGTCTCAGTTGGGGGTGGCTGCTCCGCTGGAGCCGGGTCCGGCATCACATCCTTCTCCACGACTGGTTCTGCATTAAGATCCATCGTGCTGTCAGCCGGAGTTGATGGTGCTTTTGAGTGCGGACATGCTTGCTGGCGATGACCAACAATGCCACATCCAAAGCACAGCACGTGAAGGCCTTCGTACTCCACCTCATGGAGTAGATCGTTCACCCAGATTTCCAAGACCAAAGGTTTGTCAAGGTCAATTTCCACCGCAGCTCTGGCGAACCTCCCCTTGGTCACAGCTGTAGTGGTTCTATCGAGTTTCAGCGGCTTCCCTACGTTGTTCAAAATCTTCTTAATGATGTCATCTCTGAAGTATTCCACAAAGAGTTTGGGCAGCCTCACCCAAACGGCCATTTTTGCAAGCTTAGCCTTAGATGGATCAAACTGTGGCACCCACCGTTGAGCAACAAGGTAGTTATCGAACACCTTCCAGGGACCATCGATGAGGACATGCAAATAGTCCCTTCTGCTGCTAAAGCGAGCCACAAAGCAGCCGTATCCAATATCGATAAGTTCCATTTTTTCCTGAAGGCCCCAGATCGTTGGCAGCCTTTTATTTAGCACATTAAAACTGATGTTTTTACCTAGATATCTGATGATCAAGGCGAGCTTCCACTTCTGGCAAAGCTCCCTCCTGGTTTCCAAGGGGATATAGACTCTTGGGATCCCATCTTCTCTAGGTTGCGTATTCATGTCACCATCAGGCTCCAATTCTGGGTCCTCAAACGCCCAGTCGTTAAGATCCGAGGTGGGGGGGGACGTCTCCATTCAACAGCAATGGAGATGCAATAGCTTCCGCGAAAGAACGCTTATACGTGCATGCTTTCTTGTGGGAGCGTTGATCCGTCTCCGCCTCCTCCATAGGGTCCGAAGGTGGGGGGATGTCGCTCTCCATCGACGTTTGCATGGCCGCCGGACCGCCGCTGGCCGCCATAACGGCTAGGACGCGTACGGCGGAACTTACCAAAAAAGAACCAGAAAGCCAAAGGAAATACGCGTTTCTAGAGAGAAAAAATCATTCCCCTATGATGTGCTGTATTGTCTCCCTGCCTATAATGGTATGACTAAAATACTAGTTGCTTTCATATTTCCCCCTTTTCATTTCTCGTTTCCGTCTAATATACATTCTATACTATTGGCAGTAAAGTGCTCAGATAGTGGAGAAAAAGATGGGAAACTATGCAAAAGGAGTTTAAAAGATGATAAATAAAGGCAGCATTTGTCTACGAAATTAGGGGAAAGGAAAGCAATAAAGAGGCAGCAATTATGTACATCATCGTTTCGATTCAGTGTCCATATTGCTATGTGGACCTTCGTCCATGATATAAAATTCACCATCTTACAGGTCTCAATTCGTGAAACGAGTTAGTCAAGAGAATTTGGGTCTTAAAGTAAATGGGTTTAGTAATATTATTTTATGCAAACTATTTATTACAGTTCTGGTATAAAGTATTACATTTATGCTATAAAACATTATATATAAGGCTTAAAGTAATAGATTATATATGCAATTTTGTATGTGATGATACTTTATTTCATGTAAATTATCAATATAGTTTTCTTATAAAATACTACATTTTGCTATAAAATATTATACATAAGGCTTTAAGTATTGATAATATTTGCAATCGTGTTATGATATTATTTTATTCAATGCAAAATGTGTATTATATTTATGGTTTAAAATACTACATTTATAATATAAAGTATTATATAAAAGGTTTAAAGTATTAATTATATCTACAATTCTGTTATGACTCATTTTTATTACATTAGACCCGCCTCATGGATTGAGATTTATAAGATGGTCTCATAGACTAACCCAAACTTTTATTTCTTAATTTCAAATTGGAATGGGCAGTTCAGCTATAATTCTAATTCTATAAAGAAAGAACCTTAACCAAAAGTTAAAAATCCAAATAAATATTTATCTCCATAATAAAATTGAATAATATTATATTTACTTTTTCTTTTTAATTCTATATTACCTGTTGTTTGGCCAAGAAAAAATATCATGATATTTACCAAAACGTTTTAATTATGACTATTGATATGCCTAATTCATCCGTAGTTCCACGTGAAACTAATTTAAGACTTAACTACGTAGGCGCTGGATACCTCATTCAATGCTCCAATAATTTGGCAGTCATAAAAAGTCCATTCTTTAATTTATGAAAAAGTTGGTAGTCCTTATCTAATTATATAAATCCGTTTTGGTAACTTAATTAGCTTATTAGTTAAGTTTGATTTATTTGATTATTGTTAATTGTTTCACTTTATTAAACAACTAAATAAATGTTTGATTAATTAGTTTTTTTTTTTTTTTTTTTTTTTTTTTTTTTTTTTTTTTTTTTTTTTTTTGCAATAGCTTATTGTTCTAAAATGTTAGAATTCAAAAAATTACTCAAATCAATTTTTTCGATCAGCTTTTTGAAAAAAAAGTCTTTTTGCATGTACTAAGCTATCAGCTAACAACTAATTTATCAAATATCTTTCCATAACAAACTAATGATATCAACTAGTCAAATCCACCAATCTAATCAGCTATAAGCTATCAACTAACAACTATTTATAAAACACCCTATAATTTGAGTGAAATTTGTCTTTTAATTTTAGTTCATAAAGAATTACAAAAAAAAAAAAAAAAACAATTCTTAGTTGTTCAAACTAATGCCCAATCACCTTAATATCTTCAATCAGTTTGTTATCAACAGATATATACAAAGTCCAGCTCAGATTGACAAGATGTTGCCAACTTTTGTTTTCTTCATTTAATAGTTGCTAAGTTATTAATTACGATGTTAAGATGTTGTCCACTTTTTTTTTTTTTTTTTTTTTTTTTTTTTTTTAATTGAATTGTTTAATAAAAACAATGTATACAAACATATACGACATTTACAAACATTTTACTATAGTACTTCTTCCAAGTGGTTTTGTGGTGATGCTATATGATGGTTTGAATGTGAGGTTAGGGGATGATGTTGCAAGGATTAAATTCTTATGCATATGAGCATGCTCTATAGTTTTGATTATGTGGCATATACATTATTCTTTAGAAGTGGACCCTTGATTTTAGCAAGACTTAGTGCATATAGATTGTTTTGTGAAAAACCTACACCTTGGCTACTATCACCAAATATGTATTTATTGTAGCTCTTATCTCGGACGAGAGCAGTTATCTAAAATGGGATTTGATATTGAGATTTATCTCACATCTACGCAAATTGAAGAAACGATCGTTGTGTAGTTCACGAGCTATAAGGTCTTGAAAGCTAAAAGTCCAAATTTCTTTTTCTCGTCACCATCTGAACCATGACCTGAAATATGAATACCTTCCTGAATAGGACCCTTGTGCCTTATAGAAATCTCCGAATAATAGTTTTGACTTGCAAATATCAATGGTCCTTTCTAAGTCACAATTTGTCTAATTTAACTTGAGCTTTCAAAATTTTTAAGTTCATAACTGATTCTAAATCAGCTATACACAAAATTGTGTCTCCACTTAAGTTGTGCAAGAAGGATGATTATGCCACGGACTTGATTGAGAAAACCTTGCCTTCTTTTTAACGCAACTATTCGTGTACTCTAATATCAGTACGGGGTAAAGAATTATAACAAACATCCTGAGCCGTTTTTCGCCAACCCCCTCCCTACTTGCTAATTGTAAAGCTGTAAATCATAATGCTTGTCTAGCTGACCTATACCAGTGCCCGAAGCATACAATGTTGCTCAGTCATGCAACGTCAAGAGGGGTCGAGGAAGATGCCGCAATAGGAAACAAGGCAAAGGTGGGGACAATAACTCTCGAAATTAGACTAAAAAGCAAAATGATCCAACTCGTAGAGTACAACCACATTCATGCCATCATAACTCTGGCCCAGCAGCAAAGTATGCTTCACGTGTGTATGTAAAAGGCATTGATCACATGCGTGCCACAGCTCGAAGCATTCTGCTGAAACCTGAATGAACAACACAATGTTGAATCCAACAAAGATGCCTTGCCTGAAACACAGGCTCTTCTTGGTCATATTGATGACCTACTTTAGAACATCTTTTTTTAATGGTTTTTATCAATACTTCCATCCAGTAGGCACATGTGAACATGTTGTCAATTACGAACAACATACTTGTTGATTTTCTGAGCAAACGTTATTTAATTAAATGTCCAATTCTCCGATTATCCTCGTAAGCATATAAGGACGGATAATGATGGTGAATTGAACTCGTCACCTTTTGACGATTGTTATTAGGCATTACGATGAATCATCCTATGCCTTGTGACCCCTCCTGAAATGGTTTGGCTTAATCTCTAAAATTAAGTTGCTTGCTAAATCATTTTTTTAAACAGTCCAATGTGTTGGATACTAGTTGGGGAAATGCAGTATTCATGCTGCTACTTTAATACTAAATATCCGGCACATTGTATCTCCTTATTCCCTTTACATCTAATACATGGTTTTTCAATTCAAATATTTCTCAATCTGCGTTTCTATTTCTATGTTTGCAGTTCATTCTATAACCACCATAGTGTATCTCTAAAAACTCCATATGTTGTCTCAAATATTTAGAGCCCATGAGAGGGACGCAATGGATACGCTAATTGCATGAAAATCGCTTCATGGTAGTAGGGGGAGATATGATCAAAATTGAAATAGAATGCTGAGAAATTGAAATGGAATGAAATGATTTTCAAAACTTAAATTTGTGTATCAATTAGACTGAACTGGAAGTTCAGAAGGAGATCAATTACAATCTGCCAAATAAATCTATTTCATAAAAGGTGACTAGGTCTCATTCACATTTTCCAAATTTGACCTTGATTTAACTATATTATTTTTTTATTTTTAAATTTATTTGTAATATTTATGGGAAAATAACATTTTGTGGGCATTGCACAATGTATTATTATTATAATATAATAGTTATACAATAACGTAGTTGTTAAGTAAAATTGTCTTTCAAATTTATAAGGCACGCAAACGAATCTTTCTTCCTCCGCGTGAATATAGTTATTCGCAAATCTTCTCCAGGTTTCTCGCAAATACAATCTCTTTCCGACGTTTCCTTCTGCTCGAATACAACCTCTTCCCGACGTTTCAAATTTATAAGGCATGCAAACGAATCTTTCCTCCTCCGCGTGAATACAGTCATTCGCGAATCTTTCCCAGGTTTCTCTCAAATACAACCTCTTTCCGACGTTTCCTTCTGTAAATTTCTTCCGCTCGAATATAACCTCTTCCCCACGTTTCAAATTTATAAGGCACGCAAACGAATCTTTCATCCTACGCGTGAATACAGTCATTCGCGAATCTTTCTCAGGTTTCTCGCAAATACAACATCTTCCCGACGTTTCCTCTCACCATTGGATAGTCAGATTTAATTTTCTACTGACCGGGGAAGAAGATGGAAGAAGAGAAGAGGGAAGAAGCAGCAAAAGCTTGTTGAGGTAAGATTGATTCTATCATCCTTTTTCTTCCATTTTGAATTCTACTTATAGAAGAGAACTAGAACCTAAAATTGCATCTGAAAAACTATGGCCGGAGGATTTTTTGGAAAGAAAAAGAAAACCAAAACTGAGGAGGGCAGCAACCGTCCATTCTTCAAAGAATGGATATTAGAGAATGTTAGGAGGCTGAAGAAGTCTTTCAGCAAGTCTACTGCTGCAACGGAGACGGCACCGGCACACCAGCCAACAGAGGAGGAGTGGCTCGGTTTTCTCGAGATCCCGGGGCAGCGCTATTTTTCGATCGAGATTGAATTTCTCTCGG